GGGCTGGGCCCTCACGGTGAGCCGACCCCGCGGTCCAGCTTCTGGGAGCGTAGCCACGGCACATTGGGCAGGTTCAGGCACAGAGCCATGCCGAACGCCGGGCGCGGTGCCTGGTGCCGAGGCAGCCGAGGGGAAGGAGGCAGCAGACCTCCCCTCGGTCGTTATGGGCCCGGTGAGAGTCACGGCAGTCTGAAAGAGTCTCCCTCGAGAAAACGTATCCTTTTCCTGCTTTCTCTAATTATTTTACCTGAATATAAACAGCCAGCAGGGACACGATTCAATTAGAGTTCACCAGAGGCCTGAGAATGTTTGACAGGCCAACACAACAGCTAGATAATTCGCGATAAACCCTGAAGTGAGACGCAGCTGCAGTTTATGGACGACCTCTAAATAAAGGAAAGTACTTCAGCTTAGTTTTATTCACCCCGTAGCTTTAACGGTTTCACCAGTCTGAAACAGTCAGACAGTCTTTACACTTGATTTATTTTTCGGGCAAAAATACTGCGAAATAAAGAACCGAATGCTCAGTTTATGGCATGTTATTGATCTCTTTGCAGATCTGAAGTATTGTCATTTAATTGATTACTTGACCGAAAGTTAACCAGCAGTAACTTTGATAATTTAATGTATAAGCACAGGTCTACTGGTTCCAGCTTCTAGGATGTCACTCCTTTTCTCTTATATGATAGCAAACTGAATATGGGTGGGTATTTTGACAAAACCAGGCATTGGAGTTAGTCAACATGGAATTTGGGAAATTTTCACTTTTTTGGCCTTAGAGAACTGAGCTGTTAATTCAGGACAATCAGTGAATTAACACACAATGAAAACAGTGCTTACTTGCAGCTGTGCTTCTGCTTTCCTTAACATCTGACCCCAGCAAAGTTTCAGGGGAGAAACCAGACAAGAAAAGTAGCTCATAGTGTTTCCAAACCAGAGAACAGTGTTGATGAGTCCTTTGAGGACTTGTTATCCAAGTATAAACAGATCCAGTTGGAGCTGGAATGTATTCGGAAAGAGGAGACCAGGGCTCTGGAGCCTAAAGCCTCCCCTTTCAGAGAGGAGCCACCAGACAACGCTGCCAGTATTACAGAGACCAGAGCAGTACCTGAACCAGCTCAGGGTCCAGCAGGACCAGAGGAGACCTCAGAGCTGGAGAAGGCCGAGAAGAAAGTCTTCCATGCATTCAACATCAAACCTCTACGTCAGAAACTACCAGCTCCTGCTAATCTGGACGAGCTGCAGAAGAAATGGGCTGAGCAAGAGAAAGAAGGTGACGCTGAAAAGCAGGGTGAGATAATCAGACCCTTCATGTCTCATACACTTTAATGTGTATGTTTAATCTGAATACATTTTTTGCCCACCAGTCCACACCCAGTAACCCTTATTAACAACATGAAAACATGTTTTTAGACATTTTTGCAAATGTCTTAAAAACTGAAATAATTTCCAAAAGTATTCAGTGCTTTGTAGAAGCTCCTTTAGCAGCAGTTACAGCTCCAGTATGCTCAGGCAAGTTGCTGATCGGGATATCATATGATCGGGAAGTCGAATAATTAGCAGATTAACTGATGGATGAAAGTTAACATGTTGCAGCCCTAATTTTCACATACACTGTGTTAATATTTAGCTTGCTTTTTACAACAAGAGCAAGAACCTTTGCGGCGTCCATTTTTGTTTGATGGAAACATTCACAACTGGAGAAACATGTAAAAAATAGGTTCATATGTTGTAGCAGACAATATTTTTGATCCATATATCTTCAGAAGAGCAGAGGAATTGTTAAACCTCCTCCTGGGTTTTAATGTCACCTAGCTCTGAGACTCGCATGTAAATAGATGAGGGGAACAAAGTTGGGTGCATTGTCGCATAACCGCTGCTTTAACTTGTTGAAGCTCAAAGTAACGTTTCAACATATGAGGAGGTTTCACTTTCTGTGCTATGTTTTCCAGCTAAAGAAGAGGAAAGACAAGAAGATGGAGCAGAAACCGAACAGAAACCACAAGCAGAGGAGAAGACGAGTTTGAGCTGCAGCGAGGAAACAGACAAAGTTGACAAGGAGAAACCAAAGGCGTATTTGTGTCACAGGGACTCATCGATCTCCAGCGAGGACTCGGCTGTGTCTCCTGACAAGGTGTGGGGTTTAGTGATGGTGCAGACTTGGAGAGATAATCACAACCTGACACATCTTTTTGTCTGCTCATCAGGGAGTTATTTCATGACACAGGTCTCTGCAGGTCTGCAGAAGCATCACATTCAGCTTCTTCCCAAATACCTTAGAAGAAATTTAACTCTTAAAGTCTTAAATTCTTAATTCTTAAATATTCTTTGTTTCCTGCTGTAGACCCGTAACATTAGTAGTTTTTTTTTTGTATGATTGCATCTGTCTTAATTCAAGAAAAAGGCAAGTTAAGAGTCCGTGTTTGTTTTAATCTTGCTCTTGCTGTGTTTTTCGAGCAGCCGCTGGTGAAGGTGGAAGAGGAGGAGCTGTCAGAGCTGCAGCTGCGTCTTCTCGCTCTGCAGTCAGCTAGTAAGAAGTGGCAGCAGAAGGAGCAGCAGGTGATGAAGAAGAGCAAAGACCGGATCTTTAAAGGTGCCCAGGAGAAGAGCTCCAACTCGGGCCCGGGCTCTGGCCCTGCAGCCGCTGCAGCCAGCAGGCAGAGAGTCACCACCAGGTCTGTCTCCTCTGCTGCTGCTGCTGCAGAGAGGAACAGAATCAGGTCCATAGTTCTGGAGAGGGACTGGGACAGGACCAAGACTGAACCCAGACCCGCAGACAGAGGTCGAGAAAGACTTTCACAGAGAGAGAGACCAAAGCAGAGCCCCAAACCACCCTTGGAGAGGGGCCAAACTCTGGGAAAACCTTATATGAACAAGAAGTTGAGCCCAGGTGAGAAGGGTCAGAACCTTCATGTTACTGTGTGTGTGTTGGTTTCAGGGTGTCTGACTTTACCCCTCACATCTGGAAATCACATCATTGGAAGGCCAAACCCTACACTGTTCCTCAGAAGCAGTGCACGTGGGCCACAGCCTCACTACTAATCCCTGCAAACTTTAGAAAGTGCTTTATGATTGCTGACCCACTGATGGTGCTGTTGTCTCAGGCTCGGCAGCAAAGCAGGCGTTCAGGAAGCAGCAGCTGAGGACGTGGAAGCTGCAGCAGCAGAATGAGCAGGAGGAGAAACGGCGACAGGAGGAGGAGGAGCGTCGCAAACGGGAGGACGAAATCCGCAGAATCCGAGACCTGTCCAACCAGGATGAGCAGTACAACCGCTTCATGAAGCTGGTGGGAGAGAAGACAAGGACGCGCAGCAAAGTAAGAGGCTGGACACAAACCATCACGTTGAGTTGCTAGTTTACAGCCCTGCTTGGCTCTGTGCCGAACCCACATGAGACGATGCAGAAATAGGAGGAGTTCTTGGTCTAAACGGGCAGATGTCCAGTCTGATAAGTAACATGAAGAATCCTGGACTGCTGCTCAGATTCACATGTTTCAGAACTGGTCTCAGTTGTGTTGACATTTAAGAACAAACTGAGGTGTTTCTTTGTTCGTCAGTCCAGGGATCGTGAGTACAGGAAGTCCACAGGTAAACAGGGTCTGGACATCTCAGGGAGCCTCTACCAGTATGACAACTATGATGAGGTGGCGATGGAGACGGACAGTGAGACCAGTTCACCAGGTGAGCAGAGAGCCTGTCCCTGCTCATGTGACAGTTTGTACTTTCACATTTGTCCCTCTAAGTAACTTAGAGGACACAGTCTGAGGCCACGTTCTCATCACAAGAATCACTGGATCTTAGCTCTCGATACTGGTGATCAGAGTATTATTCAGAGGCTGACACAGTGGGTTGTTTGGTTCTGCTCTAAACGGCTTTACATCCTATTTAACAGATTTTCGGTGATAGCAGTGACCCAAAATTTGAGTCATTTCCCTCTGAATGCTCCATCAGTCAGTTCAACTGAAGAAAAAAAAAAACTCACATCTTCTCCCTTATTTTACCAGTTTAAATATCCTGCTCATGTTTCTACAGTGAAGCTTTTTGTGATGCGAGTTGTGCTGTAAAATGAACCTTGACTTGCTGTTCCCACACCAGGTGTTTTGTTTTCTTTGTCCCCAGTCCCTTCACCGACCCACAGCCCGTTCACTGCAGAGGGCACAGGATGTTTCCCTCAGATGGTTCTGCATGTGACTGACTCTGCTCAGTTTGGAATGGTACGCACTTCCTCATACTCACTGGGGTTTCCCGAGAACCATGTTTAAAAGTCAGGTTCACATGTCGTGTCCATCTCACACTGCCAAAAATGAAACCACTAACACATTTTTAAAGTTCAGCTGATGCTACTCACAGTAGTCAGGTTTAGTATGTTCTTAGCAAAGCTTCATTCTGTGGAAATCCCCCATGTGTGTTACTGTCCTTCCACCTCTGCTCAACATGGACACAGAGGGGGGCACTCTGGAAAACACCCACCCGATGTGTTGAACTCATGCTATTAGAGAGTCACATGAACAACTTAAGCAAGGAGTCAGTGATTTTTGGATAAATAATGTGACCAGATTTACTGCAGCACACATTTTCAGTTATAAAGCTGCTTGAAATGAGATGTGAATGTTCAGTATGACTGATGTGCCACGGATTTAGAAACATCTGTCACTTGGAGAAGCAAACAATTAAACCATTTATTGTGTTACATGCAGCTGTTTAGCCACACTAAGAAATATAAATGTCTCTCCTCTCAGGATTTTTCTCAGCCCTTCCTTTCCCCCATGCTGTCGGGCGTTCCTCCCCCGCCTCCCCCTCTCCCCCCTCCACCAGATGAGCTGGAGCCGCCTCCCAAACCTCCCTTTGCTGATGAGGAAGAGGAGGAGGAGATGTTGCTGAGGGAGACCTGTCTGATGTCTATGGCCAACAAGAGGGTGGGAGTGACTGAGGTTGGTTACTCAGCAAACGGAGCATTATCCCACAGCAGCCAGGACTTTATAGGTGGTTTCCACAGCAGGAGCTGTCCCAGGAGGCCAAGAGCCTTTTAGAAGAACTGAGGAACTAAGCTTCCTCTAGGATAGCCTCAGGTGTTCAACAATAATAAAAGCAGGGTTGACTGTTGGTGATTGTTCAGACACACCGACAACTTGTGTACACCTTCATTTATAAAACAAGAAGGATCACTAGTGCAGCAGGTGGACTTTTCTTCTCATTTATTAGTAGCTGTTCTTCCACCGTGTGCAGGGACATTCCTAGGGGTCAAGGTTCCTCCTGCACATTGATTTATGGGTCGACAGCAGATTAGAACGCTGACAAATCAAAAGTGTGATTTCATGCCATTCTTACAAAGCCTGGCCTTTGTCACTCCCTTCTCTCTGCAGGAGAGGAACTCCAGTGGTCCTCCGTCTCCGAGCTGTCAGCCTCCTGCTGGCATTCAACAGCCAACCAGAGGAAACCTGAGCACAGTCAGTCTGAACACGGTGTCTCGGTCCAGGGCCAACAAGTTCACCAGAGGACATCGCGGTCCCCGAGCCCCACTAGTTGTAAGATCCTCACACTCTGAAGTTACCTACACACCTCACTGTTTGAAAAAGCCAAGTTTGCATCCACAGAATTCTTCCTGCGCTGGTGCAGTTGCAAATATTTCACTTTACTCATTTGAAGTAACTCCAGTATTGATGTCAGTAAAGTGTGAGAATCTGCTGGTTGTTGGTCTTTTATCGTGCGTGCGCATGGACGTGTCTTACCTGTTGCGTGGGGACGTCTTCCTGACTCCATACCAACGCAGGACCCATTCCACGGTGGGGACCTAAATTGAGGTCCCCATGGGCAAGAAATTGAATGGTAGGGTGGCAACATGGTTTAGGGTTAGGATGAGGTTAGGTTAGGGTTAGGCAAGTAGTGGTTCTGGTTAAGGTTAGGGTTAGTCTACAGGAAATGCATGTAAGTCAATGTAAAGTCCCCATGCACTACGAAACATAAACTGTGTGTGTGTAAATGCAAATGTGGACCTGTTGTGATGCTTCTACATGTGCCTGTTGGGGGTTGAACAGAGAAACATCTTGTATTAATAAATATAGCAGCAGCAAATCAGACAGTGTGGGGGTTTTCACTTTCAATCAGGCTGTGCTTTCCTTTAACTGTTGTACAGTCTAGTGTGCAGAGGTTTGTTCTGATTTTCAGTCCAAAACAACCTAAACATGAGAAGTTCATCACAAATTCCAGGTGTCCTGAAGACGCATCCCGTCTGTAGTCGTGCAGAAAAAAACAAAACACTGATCTGCTGCTGGAGGCATCAAATCACACTTTATCTTCATTTTGAACAGTAAAACCACGTTGGCTTTCATATAGTTTTTGAACACAGTCTGTCTCAGGTTGGTGGTGCAGCCAGATACAGCTCAGAGCGCTGTGTTCCTGTAACACAGTGACTCTGAACATCCACACACTCAGTTTGCCTGATGCCAACCTGTTGTCATGTGTTTCCTCCAGCTGCCTAGGCACAAGACAGTGGTGGTTTCTCTTAATGATTCAGACGACAGCGACTCTGACATGGATGCCTCCAGCTCTGCGCAGGCGGTGTTTGGTGGGCTGGAGTTCATGATCAAAGAAGCCAGGAGGACCGTCGAGGTGGGGCACATTTACAGCATCTCCTGAAGACCAAAAAAACGTGCAAAGTAGAAATTCATTTCAGGATAAGATTTTTAAAAGTTGTAACCAATGAACACAACAAACTGTTAGTTCAGGCCAGTGTGGTTCATCAAAAATGATTTGGAGGTAATATGTTAATCATATCTGTTGACCTTTTAATTTGATTGTAAACGTTTAAAGAGAGAGAGTTTAACTTCATTCATCTGTTCAGGTTGATGTGAATCCTGTTTTGAAATCTTTCAGGCAGCAAAGCCTAAAGTAGCATCAGGATCTGAGAAAGAAAACAATCCAGTCAGAACTCCAGAGGCCTTACCTGATGCCAAGAAGGCTGAGTACCGCCTGCTCGTAGAGGAAATTGCCAGGTGCAAAACGTAAACGCTGTCATTACAAAGATATTAGAGCTCAACATGCAGAAGCACTGTTTGTAGAAATGTTCCAAAACTAAAATGGTATTGTTGTCTGACTACTTGCAGCCGGGAGAAGCAGAAAATGGTGAAGGATCACAGTCTTAGTCAGCGGACCTCCACCTCACCTCCTGTCTCTGAGTCTATGCTGTATTCATCAGTGAAGGCAGCTGCAGAGGTCACGCTGTGTGAAGTCGAGCAGAGACTCAACAAACATAGGTGAGACCTCCAGCACTGGGTGGAGAAGCTGTGTGATCAGATGCATTGAGCAGCTGCTCACACGATTCTTTATGCTGTAGGTCTGGAAATGTGTATATAAGCCATTTTTAGGCCTCCATGCAGGCGACAGCTGAGGTCGGAGGCATCATGTTTCCAGGTTATCTGTCCGTCTGGCCCACTCTCTCAGAAAGGGAATTTCTTCAAATTTGACGTGTCCACTTGAGCTCAGTGATGAACTGATCAAATTTTGCAGAACCTGTGTGAGAATCCTCCTGTTGTTAACTTCGCTTCAGCCTCACAGTGATCCAGTGGCGGTTGTGTGTACATCCATGGGGACACTGCACACAGCAGCTGTTCACTGCTCATTCTGCGGCTGTTAATGGAAATGCTTAGACTATATGTGGACAGATAAAGGCTTAAAACAGAGCTCACCTTATAGCTCATAGCTAACTCACTGACTCCATACTGGTCATCTGGTGAAAACTGAAATGTTAAAATAGACATTGCCTAGTAACCCAGAGTTGGCTGATTCAGAATGAATGGCATATGCTCAGGAAAGATGAAACACAACTGAACGCACCTGGTTCTAGGTTCCTGCTGTAAATATAAACTCGTAGTTCTTCACCATGGTCATCCACTTGCAGGTAGTGTTCACCAGGAACCTGTCTCATGGAGCAAAATAACACGCATCACTCCACATATATCTGTAAAACTGCATCACAGAAAGTACCTGGGCTGTGTTGTGTACAGATTTGTTTTGCCTGCTGTATAGAGCAGATGGTACAGTGCACTGTAAATCACTGCAGAGAACTGCTGCAGAGAGACGAGGCCATCCTGAGACATCTGCTGCAGCAGGAGCTGAAGAAGAGAGAGTCTTTGAAGGCTGCTGAGGCCAAAGTGGCCAAACTGAGAGAGCAGCTGCAGGCCTCCGAGAAGATCGTTAGTGCAAACAGGATGCTCCTCAAGAAGCTCCAGGAACAGGTGAGTGCACAGACACTGGAAACAGGACATTTCCTGTCCCTTGTCATGCCCTCCCATGGTCATCCCTTATTCTTTTGCATGTTTTTTTAATGTATAAATCATGTGTAGGTGTTTGTGTCATATTTGGGGAGGGGGGGGAATTTGGGATTGGGGGGTGGGGTGATGACCCCGTACCTGACGCCTCGTCCTGTGTGTAGGTGCATAATGTTGAACATAGAGGGTCTACAAAGAAGAGGGGGGCGTGACGTGTCCACTTGAGCTCAGTGATGAACTGATCAAATTTTGCAGAACCTGTGTGAGAATCCTCCTGTTGTTAACTTCGCTTCAGCCTCACAGTGATCCAGTGGCGGTTGTGTGTACATCCATGGGGACACTGCACACAGCAGCTGTTCACTGCTCATTCTGCGGCTGTTAATGGAAATGCTTAGACTATATGTGGACAGATAAAGGCTTAAAACAGAGCTCACCTTATAGCTCATAGCTAACTCACTGACTCCATACTGGTCATCTGGTGAAAACTGAAATGTTAAAATAGACATTGCCTAGTAACCCAGAGTTGGCTGATTCAGAATGAATGGCATATGCTCAGGAAAGATGAAACACAACTGAACGCACCTGGTTCTAGGTTCCTGCTGTAAATATAAACTCGTAGTTCTTCACCATGGTCATCCACTTGCAGGTAGTGTTCACCAGGAACCTGTCTCATGGAGCAAAATAACACGCATCACTCCACATATATCTGTAAAACTGCATCACAGAAAGTACCTGGGCTGTGTTGTGTACAGATTTGTTTTGCCTGCTGTATAGAGCAGATGGTACAGTGCACTGTAAATCACTGCAGAGAACTGCTGCAGAGAGACGAGGCCATCCTGAGACATCTGCTGCAGCAGGAGCTGAAGAAGAGAGAGTCTTTGAAGGCTGCTGAGGCCAAAGTGGCCAAACTGAGAGAGCAGCTGCAGGCCTCCGAGAAGATCGTTAGTGCAAACAGGATGCTCCTCAAGAAGCTCCAGGAACAGGTGAGTGCACAGACACTGGAAACAGGACATTTCCTGTCCCTTGTCATGCCCTCCCATGGTCATCCCTTATTCTTTTGCATGTTTTTTTAATGTATAAATCATGTGTAGGTGTTTGTGTCATAGTTGGGGAGGGGGGGGAATTTGGGATTGGGGGGTGGGGTGATGACCCCGTACCTGACGCCTCGTCCTGTGTGTAGGTGCATAATGTTGAACATAGAGTGTCTACAAAGAAGAGTGTGGCTGTCAGACTGGAGCGGGAGCTGGCTCAGGCTCAGCTGGCTGCTGGTAGGGGATTAAAACGCCAAATGGACTCCAACCAGACCCCGGTGAGTAGCTTCGCCCCTCGTTCTATTGTTCTGAGGAAATCTTCTCATGTGCCCCTTTGGCTGCCTGTGCTCTGAGCTGTACTTTATAATGACAAAAAGGCAGGCAGATGTGGAGGGTGTAGCCAGGGTCTACGTTTCACCATATCCATACATCCATGGCTGGGAAGTCTTCTGTTTGTAGGAGTTGCATGGCCACGGTCACAGGTGTGCCCTCATCAGATCTGAGGGAGCTCTCAACCCTTGTCAGCTCGAGTGTAGTCATTCCCAGCACCACAGTGTTGCAGTTGCAGTGTATTTTATCAGTCATTCACAGAAATATTTAGATCAGTCAGAGTTCACACCAGTCCAGAACCCTGTTTGTTTCAACCAGTCAGTGGTTCACTGTACAGCTGCAAAAAGACATCACAGCTTGTTGTCAAACTCCAGTTTACTTTAGATTCATGCATGACAAGAGATACTGAGGTGATGGATTAAAAGTTAATCAGGGTGCAAAATACTGGGGGTTTGACTTCAACTCTCCCAAAGACATAAAAGAAAAGAAAAAATAAATCTATATATATATATATTTTCCCTCGTACAAGCCTGTCATTTATGAGGAGTTGCTGCTTTTGTGCATCTTGCCATTATAAGCTTTAGGAGGGTGTGATGGGTTTTCTTTCAACCAGCAATTTATGGTTTGAACAGTTAACTGATTGAATGAGGAAAACAACCAAGAAATTAATGATAAAATGATTATAATGGAATGGCAATCATTACTTGCAGCCCTGCATTAGCTAGGTTTTTACTGAATAACCCGATTTATACCTATAGATTAGGGAGTGATGATCTTGGGTTATAGAACCTGGTAATGCTCAATAGATGGAGAATCTAGAATTCTGTGAATCATCTGAGGTTCTGCTGATCTGCTTCATACCCAGTGTTGAATAGGCGTTTATGTGCCAGTTATGTCAAGGTGAAACCTGAGTGTCATGTACAGATGTGGACATCTTGAGGTTAACAGGTGACATTTCAGTGACAAAGAGGTGAATTTGGTTGAAGTTCATTAAAAAATGGGTAATGACGTTCATCAGGTGAGTTTCAGTGAGGTTGGCAGGTGACAGTTCCCTGGTAACCGTGAGAACTTAACATCAGCTACCGGTTCTCATCATCACTGTCGGACACAGGTACACAAAGCGATTTTAGTTATTTATTTGGTCACGGCTCACTTTAACGTTATAAACACCAGATGCGTTTAACTGTAACTGCAATAACTGATCACCGGCTACATTTTTAGACGTTTAACGGTGTTATTTCGGTTAGCTAACATTAGCCAATTGCTAACTTAGCTACCGTTAGCGTTAGTGCTATAGCATAGCTAGCTAGCATAACATTAAGGTAGTTGTCATCTTGCAAACAGGTTTTGTGCTACCTAATTTTGCTAATGTAGTGTTACGTTGTTTTGAGCGTCAAAAGCGAAAGATAATACAGACTGAAGTCTTGAATTCTGGTGGTTTTTAGTGTCGAGTGCATGTCGTTACTCATGGAGCAGCTTGCTTTGGCTTATTTTAGCAGCTGTTGTAACGTTAGTGAGTTGTGTGTGGTGTTAGCTCTTCGGTAGCATGAGCATTAGCTGTGTTTTGTAATGGATTGAGTGAAAATGTGCAATTAAGGTAAACGGAATTTATTTTTGTTTAACTTAAAAATAGGGAGCTCACACTGAAGTGAACACATACATAAACTCATCAGATGTATAGACTTCAGTTGTATAAGATGTTTGCATGGTAAAAATGTAATCAGGTAGTTCTGCAGTAACATGAATTGACTTGTTCTTTTCCCCCATTCAGCCCAATAAGCTGCAGCGTGTAGACAGAGCTCATTGGGGCTCAGAGTGTCACTTTGTGGAGCTGATTGCACAGAAACAGCGACTGCAGCAGCTGGAGTCTGAGTACGCCCTCAAGATCCAGAAGTTGAAGGAGGCTCAGGCCCTGCAGAACAAAGGAGTCCCATCAGAGCCACCCACAGAGCCACCACTGCGAGACTCTACCCCACCAGGCCTTCAGATTCAGGTACCAGCCCC